TAGTCCCAGCTACTTGGGAGGCTGCGACAGGAGAATTGCTTGCACTTAGGGGATGGAGGCTGCAGTGGGCGGAAATCACACCACTGCACTCCAGCCTGGATGATGGAATGACACTCTGTCTCAAAAAAAAAAAAAAAATGGACTCAATGTGGATCATAGCCCTAAATGGAAAATGTAAACCTATGACACTTCTAGAAGAAACCACAGGAGAAAATATGATTGACCTTGCATCAGGCAAAGAACTTACAAATAAAACACCGAAAGTGAAATCCATAAAAGAAAAATTTACAAGTTGGACTTTATTAAAATGAAATACTTTGTTATTCAAAAGACTGCTACGAGAATAAAAACACAGCCATATACTAAGAAAATACTTGCAAATCACATTTCTGTCAAAGCACTTGCATCAAGAATATATAATGAACTCTCAAAATTCAACAATAAGGAAATAAACAATGCCATTTAAAATGGAGAAAAGATCTGGAAACTTCACCAAATATATATATATATAACAAATAAACACTTGAAAAGGTACTCAGTGTCTTTATTAGGAAAATACAAATTAAAACCAAAATGACATACTACCACACATCTAATATTCAACATAGTATTGCAAGTTCTGGCCAAAGCAATCAGGCAAGAAAAAGAAATAAAAGGTATTCAATTAGGAAAAGAGGAAGTCTCTATTTGCAGATGACGTGATTGTATATTTAGAAGACCCCATTGTCTCAGCCCAAAATCTCCTTAAGCTGATAAGCAACTTCAGCAAAGTCTTAGGATACAAAATCAATGTGCAAAAATCACAAGCATTCCTATACAACAATAACAGAGTAACAGACAGCCAAATCATGAGCGAACTCCCATTCACAACTGCTACAAAGAGAATAAAATACCTAGAAATAAAACTAACAAGGGATATGAAGGACCTCATCAAGAAGAACTACAAACCACTGCTCAAGGAAATAAGAGAGGACACAAACAGATGGAAAAACATTCCATGCTCATGGTTAGGAAGAATCAGTATTGTGAAAATGGCCATACTGCCCAAAGTAATTTATAGATTCAGTGCTATCCCCATCAAGCTACCATTGACCTTCTTCACAGAACTGGAAAAAAAACACCTTAAACTTCATATGGAAACAAAAGAGAGCCTGCATAGCCCAGACAATCCTAAGCAAAAAGAACAAAGCTGGAGGCATCACACTACCTGACTTCAAACTATACTACAAGGCTACAGTAATCAAAACAGCTTGGTACTGGTACCAAAACAGAGATATAGACCAATGGAACAGAACAGAGGCCTCAGAAGTAATGTCACACATCTACAACCATCTGATCTTTGACAAAACTGACAAAAACAAGCAAAGGGGAAAGGATTCTCTATTTAATAAATGGCGCTGGGAAAACTGGCTAGCCATCCGCAGAAAGCTGAAACTGGACCCCTTCCTTACACCTTATACAAAAATTAACTCCAGATGGATTAAAGATTTAAACATAAGATCTAACACCATAAAAACCCTAGGAGAAAATCTATGCAAAACCATTCAGGACATAGGTGTAGGAGAAATACCTAACATAGATGATGGGGGAATGGATGCAGCAAACCACCATGGCATGTGTATACCTATGTTACAATCCTGCACAATCTGCACATGTACCCCAAAACTTAAAGTATAATAATAATAAAGAATGGTAAATTTCAAGAAACTGGCAATACCAAATACCACAATGCTGAGGAATTAGAACTCTAGTATATTGTTGATGGGAATTCTTGAAAAATAATTTAGCAGTTTCTTTTTTTCTTCTTTTTCTTTTTTTTAAGAGACAGGGTCTCACTTTGTCACCCTGGCTGGAGTGCAATGGTATAACCATAGCTCACTGTAACCTCAAACACCTGAGCTCAGGGAATCTTCCTGCTTCAGCCTCCTGAGAAGTAGGGCTACAGGCACACACCATCATGCTTGGCTAATTTTTAAATTTTGTGCAGAGACAGGGGTCTTGCTATCTTGCCCAGGCTGCTCTGAAACTCCTGGCTTCAAGTGATCCTCCCTCCTTAGCCTCTCAAAGTGCTAGGATTACAGGCGTGAGCCACCACACCGGGCCAGCAGTTTCTTATAAAGTTAAATGTATCCCTACCATATGACCCAATAACTCTGCTCCCAGGTATCTACCCAAGATAAATGAAAACTGAGTTCACACATAGGTGTAATTGAATGTTTACGGCAGCTTTATTTGTAATCACCAAACATTGGAAATAACCCAAATGTCCTTCGACTGGTGAATGGCTAAACAAACTGTGGTCCTTTTTACATCATATATGGGAATATTTTTACATGTCAGAATCTATGTCTAATCTATTAAGTTGATCTAGTCTGGCTGGATGCAGTGGGTCACACCTGTAATCCCAGCACTTTGTGTGGCCAAGGCAGGAGGATCACTTGAGCCCAGGAGTTAAATAGTAGCCTGGGCAACATAGTGAAACCCCATCTTTCCAAATTAAAAAATTTAAAAAATTACTTGAGCATGGTGGCTCAAACCTGCGGTTCTAGCTATTTAGGAGGCTAAAGTGAGAGGATGACTTAAGCCTGGGAGGTCAAGGCTGCTGTGACCCATGAGCATGCCACTTTACTCCAGCCTGGGCAACAGATATCCACACAGGCATTCTGGATATCCACATAGGCATTTTGAGATCCTGTCTCAAAAAAAAAAAAGACTTACATCAGCATACAAAAGACTTTTAATATCTGCATCTTTATAATATGTTCCACTAATATATTATTCTTCTTTACATTTTTTAGTTGTTCATATTTATGTTTCCACCTAAACTTTACTACCATATTTCCTCCAAAAATATTCCTATTGTAATTTCCCCAGTAATTCCACTTATCCTAAAAATTAATGTATCAAGAACTGGCAGCTTTACAATATTCAATTTTCAGCCAGGCACGGTGGCTCTTGCCTGCATTCCCAGCACTTTGGGAGGCCAAGGCAGGCAGATCATTTGAGTCCACAAGTTCGGCCTAGGCAACATGACAAAGCCCCATCTCTACAAAAAAAAAATCAATTTTCCTGTCTATGAGCACTGATATGTGTCTCTACTTATTCAGTCTTCTTTTATGTCAATGAAATTTTATAACTTAAAAATATGTATATGAGTTTCATACATATCTTGTTAAGATTATTCCTAAACTTTTTATCATTAGTGGTGGTGGTGGCAGTAGTGGTTAAAAGTGTGATTTTTTTTTCCCATTGTATCTTCTTTTCTTTTTTTTTTTGTTTTGTTTTTTTTGTTTTGTTTTGTTTTTTTTGAGATGGAGTTTCACTCATGTTACCCAGGCTGGAGTGCAATGGCGCGATCTCGGCTCATCGCAACCTCCGCCTCCTGGGTTCAGGCAATTCTCCTGAGTAGCTGGGATTACAGGCATGCACCACCATGCCCAGCTAATTTTTTGTATTTTTAGTAGAGACGGGGTTTCACCATGTTGACCAGGATGGTCTCGATCTCTTGACCTCGTGATCCACCCGCCTCGGCCTCCCAAAGTGCTGGGATTACATGCTTGAGCCACCGCACCCGGCCCCCATTGTATATTCTAATCAATATTAGTAATCAATTAGATTTTTTAGGATATCCACACAGGCATTTTGATGAATTCTCTTATTGTTTCTAATGGTTTTCCCCTTGATTCTCTCTTCAGTGAGATTTCTATTTTTAAGTTACATGAGATTGTCCATTAAAGGTCACATCTTATCTGGCTAATAATATATATAATTCTGGGTTTCCTCCACAACAGCTTGTGATAAAATACACCAAACTGTTTCACACAACTGCTTATATTAATCCCTAGGTAAGCCTTATTACTAATTATAATAAAGAATAATTATCATTTACTATGACCTACGATGTCCCAGACATCGTTGCACATTTTACTTGCATCAACACTTAGCTTTACAACAACCTTGCAAGGGTAGAGACGAGACTGCAAGTCTCACTTTATTAAGAGGAAAACTAAAACTTAGAGAAGCTAAGTGCTTTTCCAAGATCAGAGTTAGCGGGCAAGTGGTTGAGACAATATTCACATCCAGGTTTATCTTACATCAATACCCTTCCTCATTTCACTTCACCTCACCACCACTTCTTCCTTTAAAAGAAGCGGAGGAGATAAGAGGCAAAAAGAAGAAATTCTACCTAGTAATATTAAATGCAGTTGTGTTTTCTCTTTTCTTTGTGTGTGTGTGTGTGTGTGCATGTGCGTGCACGCCCAGGCTGCAGTGCAGTGGCGTGATCACAACTCACTGCAGCTTCAACTGCTCTGCCTCAGGTTATCCTCCCACCTCAGCTTTCCAAGTACCTAGGACTACAGGTGTGCACCACTGTGCCGGCCTAATTTTTTAAAAAAATTTTTATAGAGACGGGGTGTCATCATGTTGCCCAGGCTGGTTTTGAACTCCTGTGCTCAAGCAATCCACCCACCTCAGCCTCCAAATTGCTGGTTCATAGGCCAGAGCCACTGCATCTGGCTTTTTTTTTTCCAATCGGTTTTTCCGTAAGCAAGTGACATAAAATCAAACGATTACCAAATGGTGTATGGTAGGAGGGAAGCAGTTGGCCAAGCTACAAACTAAATTCTCAATTGGCAATACCTTGCATTTGTTTTCAGCTGGTACACTTAACATATGTGTTCAAAGCCAAAGACACAATCATGAGTTAGTATTTATCTATTTTATTCAAATGCACTCTCATAACTAAAACAATACTGCTAATTAGTATTTCAAGTATCTCTCTAAAAGAAATGTACTAATTTGGGATCAAGCATTCAGGATATGGACTATCCTAAACTATCAAACTGCTATTTGAACCGCAGGAAAACACCTATCTTTTTGTGCCACCACTTTTCCATTAGTATACATTTTTCAAAGTTTTGAAAAAACTAATTTTGCCATTTGTTAAGAGTTAACTGCTTATGTTTTGAGAGTGTATTTTATTTTTTGTACCCATTAACCATCTCCCCCTTCCCTCTACTCCCCCTCCGACTACCCTTCCCAGACTCTGGCAAACATCTTTCTATTCTCTATCTCCATGAGTTCAATTGTTTTGATTTTTAGATCCCACAAATAAGTGAGAATATGCAATATTTGACTTTCTGTGCCTGGCTTATTTCACTTAACATAATAACCTCTAGTTCCATCCATCTTGTTAACAAATGACAGGATCTTATTTTTTTTTTTAATGGATGAATAGTACTCCATTGTGTATATATGACACATTTTCTTTATCCATTAGTCTGCTGATGGATACTTATGTTGCTTCCAAATCTTGGCTATTATGAACAGTGTTGCAACCAACATGGGAGTGCAAATATCTCTTCGATATACTGATTTCCTTTCTTTTGAGAACATATCCAGCAGTGAGACTGATGGATTGTATTGTAGCTCTATTTTTAGTTTACTGAGGAACCTCTAAACTGCTCTCCATAGTGGTTGTACTAATTTATCCTCCCATCAATACTATACAAGATTTCCCTTTCCTCCGCATTCTCACCAGCATTTATTATTGTCTGACTTTTGTGGGGGGAGGTTGTTTGTTTTTCTGAGACAGAGTCTAGCTCTGTCGTCTAGGTTGGAAGGCAGTGGCACAATCTCAGCTCACTGCTACCTCCACCTCCTGGGTTCAAGCGATTCTCGTGTCTCAGCCTCCCAAATATCTGGGATTACATTTGTGCACCACCATATCTGGATAATTTTTTGTATTTCAGTAAAGAGGGGGTTTTGCCATGTTGGCCAGGCTGGTCTCAAACTCTTGGCCTGAAGTGATACACCTGCCTTGGCCTCCCAAAGTGTGGGGATTACAGGTGTAAGCCACTGCATTCAGTCTGACTTTGTATTTTTAAATAGTCTGTCTTCATGTTCACTAGTTCTTCTGCTTGATCAATTCTACTATTAAGAGACTCTGGCCGGTGCAATGGCTCACGTCTGTAATTCCAGCACTTTGGGAGGCTGAGGCGGGCAGATCACCTGAAGTGAGAAGTTCGAGACCAGCCTGGCCAACATGGTGAAACCCCGGTCTCTACTAAAAACACAAAAATTAGCCAGGTGTGGTGGCAAGTGCTTGTAATCCCAGCCACTCAGGAGGCTGAAGCAGGAGAATCACCTGAACCTGGGAGGCGGAGGTTGCAGCGAGCTGAGATTGTGCCACTGCACTCCAGCCTGGGCAACAGTAAGACTCTGTCTCAAGAGATTCCGATGCATTCTTCAGCATGTCAGCTACATTTCCAACTCTAAAATTTCTGTTGATTCTTTTTACTTATTTCGATTTATGTTAAATTTCTCTAACAGAATTCTGAATTACTTCTCTGTTTTATCTGGAATTTCTTTGAGTTTCCTCAAAACAGCTATTTTGAATTCTCTGTTTGAAAGGTCATATATCTGTTTCTCCAGGATTGGTCCCTGGTGTCTTATTAGTTCATCTGATGAGGTCATGTTTTCCTGAATGGCGTTGATGTTTGTGAATGTTCACTGGTGTCTAGGCATTAAAGAGTTAGGTATTTACTGTAGTCCTCACAGTCTGGGCTTGTGTGTGCCTCTCCTTCTTGGGAAGGCTCTCCAGGTATTCACAGCGACTTGGGCCCCAAATGCAGCAATGCTGTGGTTTTTACAGACTTATACAGGCTGTATAAGTCTGTATACGTTTTTACGGACTTATACAAGCTGTACAAGTCTGTATTGGTGGTCCTGGATAAGATCTGGAAGAATTCTGTGGATTACCAGGCAGAAACTCTTATTCTTTACCTTTACTATCTCCCAAATGAAGTCTCTTTTCCTGTGCTGAGCCACCTAAAACTGAGGGTGTGGTAACACATGCAGCCCTGTGGCCACCACCACTGGGACTGCACTGGGTCAGAACTGAAGCCACCACGGCACTGCATCTCGCCTAAGCCCCTTCCCTTAAGGGCGGCAAGCTCCCCTAGACCCTGGATGTTATCCAGAGATGCTGTCTGGGAGTCAGGAATAGAAGTTAAAAATCTTAGCAGTTTACCTGATGTTATATTTTACTGTGACTAAGCTGGCATTTGCACCACAATACAAAGTCCTTCTCAGTCTTCCCCCGCTTTCCACAGGCACAGAAGCCTCTTCCTGTGGCCACCACCACCACTGGTTCTGCCAGGCCACTGCCGATGTTCACTTAAAGTCCAAGGGCTCTTCCGTCAGCTTGTGGTGATTGCTGCCAGGCCTGGGACTCTGTTTTCAGGATGGCGGGCTCCCCTATGGCCAAGGGCAGGTCCAGAAATGCTGTCTAAGAGCCTAGGCCTAGAGTTAGGGACCCTAAGAGCCCATTTATTGCTCTATCCTACTATAACTGAGCTGGGCCGAGCGCGGTGGCTCAAGCCTGTAATCCCAGCACTTTGGGAGGCCGAGGCGGGTGGATCACAAGGTCAAGAGATCGAGACCATCCTGGTCAACATGGTGAAACCCCGTCTCTACTAAAAATACAAAAAAATTAGCTGGGCATGGTGGCGCGTGCCTGTAATGCCAGCTACTCAGGAGGCTGAGGCAGGAGAATTGCCTGAACCCAGGAGGCGGAGGTTGCGGTGAGCCGAGATCGTGCCATTGCACTCCAGCCTGGGTAACAAGAGCGAAACTCCGTCTCAAAAAAAAAAAAAAAAAAAAAAAAAAAATATATATATATATATATATATATATATGTAACTGAGCTGGTACCTAAGGTGCCAAGCCCCCTTTACTTTTCCCTCTGCTTTTCTCAAACAGAAGGAATCTTTCACCATAGCCACCATAGCTAGAAATGTGCTGGGTCACCTCTGAAGCCAGTAGGTGATGAATGCTGCCAGGACTTGAAGGCAGCAGATTCCCTTTTGGTTCAGGGTGTATCTAGAAATGTTGCCCAGGATCTAGGTCCTGGAATGGAGGCCTCACAGCTCTGCTTGATGCCCTATACTACTGTAGTTGAGCTGGTATCCAAGAATCAAGACAAAGTCCTCTTTACTCTTTGCCTCCTCTCCTTAAGCAAAAGGAAGTCACTTTTGTTGCTGCGAGATGAATTGCCTGGGGTTAGGGGAGGGATGGCACAAGACAAGAATGCATTTGATTCTGTCAGGCCATTATCAAATTTAGAATGTATTAATACTAAAGGAATTAACCAAATACTGCCTGTAAGGCTTGAAAGCGTATTCTATCTTAGTTACCATATAGCTATTAATATAGAGTTGCTATTATCTTGGTAACTGCTCTGGAATTTACATGGACTTTTTGATTTACAGCATTATCACAGTATCCGGAGTCCAAGGGGAGGTAGAGGCAAGGAGAGCGAACACAGAAACTGAATTTGAATAACCTGAAATCTGGCTCCAGGCCACAGTAGAAGGAGATCAGCTTATGAAGCAAACGGACTTGGGTGAAAACCAGAATCCATTGTTTATAGCTCTGCAATCTCAAAGTTCATGTCCTCTTTGTAAAGACTTTTCATAAAATTAGGGTAATGAATCTTATAAGAATGTTTCCAGAATTAGAAGATACAAGACAAAACAACAACAACAAGCAACAACAACAAAAAAAACCCCTATGATAGTGGCCTTTCTCTACCCTACATTTTTATTATAAGCAATCTGTTTGGCAAAGTAGCATACTTGGATGTTACTACCGATTGCAAAAATTTAAAAAGGGATTATCAGAGGTCTATTAATTAATTCAAAATACCCCAAATAATTCATTAATGCCCAACTAAGGCTTAATCTTACAGGCAATATAACAGAAAACATAAAAAGAAAATAACTTCAATTCAAACACTGTCAATTGCTTCTGAGGTTGGGACCAGATTTGCTTTACTGTCTTTGTTTACAGAGAGGCCAGCTGAGCAACTTAAAGGCTAGAACTGTTTGTTCATTGTAATGCCTGGAAAATTCATTCAGCAAAAACTAGTACAAAGATAACAAAATGAAAGGTCAATTTAAAAATGCTATCCTAAAGTGTGTAGTGATATAACCTAGGAACTATTTACCAATACTCAAAAAAGGGAAGATTGGTTCCATGTTTCGTAGTTTCACATTCATCCCCAACCAATCTTTACACACACACACACACACACACACACACACACACACATATTTGAGACAGGGTCTTGCTCTGTCACCCAGGCTGGAGTGCAGTGGGATGATTATGGTCCACTGTAGATCACCCAGCCTCAGGCCATCCTCCCACCTCAGCCTCTCCAGTAGCTGGGACTACAGGAGCATGCCACCATGCCCAGCTAATGCTATTTTTTGGAGAGAAGAGATCTTGTTATGTTAACCAGGCTGGTCTCAAACTCCTGGGCCCAAGTGATCCTCCCACCTCAGCTTCCAAATTGCTGGGATTACAGGCATGAGCCACAGCACCTGGCCCTTACATATATTATTAAATGAGTATTTTGTAGATTACTAGGAATAAATATATATTTGCTTACAAAGTTATGCCATACTATTTTGGGAAAATACATGGGGCATATGGGGAAGAGTGAGTAGAGAAAATTTACTTGTTATGGTTGCAGTAAAGACTAATAGGGAGGAACCGGAGAATATACATATTAGAAAGGTATATTAGGGCCCTGAACTCCAGTCTAAAGAGTCTGCATTTCATCCTACATGGAATGATTCTCCAAAGAAGGTCCCAGTACCATCAGCCTCAAAATCACCCGGAGAGCACAGTAACACATTCATTCCTGGGTCCCATCCTAGACCAACTGAAAGAAATCTCTGGTGTAGGTCTCAGGAAATCTCAGGAATATGCATGTTTACATAGTTCAAAATTCATTCTTATTTACCCAAAAAGTTGGCCATATGCCAAAGGGAATGAAATGGTTTGGCTCTGTGTCCCCAACCAAATCTTATCTCGAATTGGAATCCTCATAATCTCCATGTGTTGAGGGAGGGACCAGATGGGAGGTGATTGGATCATAAGAGAGGTTTTCCTCATGCTGTTCCAGTGACAGTGAGTTCTCACTAGATCTGATGGTTTTATAAGACAGTTTTCCCTGCTCTTGCTAGCTCTTTCCTGCCACCATGTGAAGAAGGTCTTTGCTTCCCCTTCACCTTCCACCATGTTTGTAAGTTTCCTGAGGCCTCCCCAGGCATGTGGAACTGTGAGTCAATTAAACCTCATTTCTTTATAAATTACCCAGTCTCAAGCAGTTATTTATAGCAGTGTGAAAACTGGCAATGTGAAGTCTGGGCAACATGGTGAAACCTTGTCTCTACTAAAAATACAAAAAAGTAGCCAGGTGTGATAGCACACACCTGTAGTCCCAGCTACTCGGGAGCCTGAGGTGGAAGAATCATCTAAGCCTGGGAAGTTGAGGCTGCAGTGAGCCATGACTGTGCCACTGCACTCCAGCCTGGGCAACAGGAGCGAGACCCTGCTTCAAAAAAAAAAACACACACACAAACAAACAAAACACACACAAGGAAAAAAAATTAAAAATAAAATAAAATCCAGGTACAAATAAAAATAAAAAATTGACAAGGAAACTATAAGATAGTTACAACCTTTGCCATAGAGAGGATAAAGTAAGAAAATAGAGGCACAGAGAAATTAATTTTCCCAAAGTCAGATGGTCATGAACATCTTTCAGAGAAGTGTGAGGAAAGGACTAGAGAAGGGAGACTAGGGGAAACAGGTTTATTGATGAATTATTGTAGCAATTTGACAGGAGAATATGAATTTGGGCAGAGTCATTAGTAAAGGCTGCTTCTTCAAACATACAGATGGCACAGTAAGTAGGGTCTAGCTGTTATTATACACTGAAATTAAGTCTGCTTGCTTTCTGAATAAATAATCACTCTAAGGTAGAAAATGTACCTATTTGTCTACAGTGCTAGAAGTTTAACAGATTTGCAGTTAAGAAGCAAGTAAAACAGCTGAGACTTGAGTCATGACAAAGGACATTTTTAAATGACTAGTTTTTTCTTTTGGAAGTAAAGGGGGTTATCTTACTTTGTGTGCCCTATCTAATCCTCTTACTCCTCAAAACTTGATGACAAATTCTTTCCACTCTCAGGCCACACTTCACTATTACCAAACACTTATACAGTATAAACACTGTTCCACAATGCAAGCTGTGAAGTTCTTTGCTTTATCATCATGACTAAGCATTTGAGTCATATTCAAAAAGAAGGGCATAGAAGAGAAGAAATCCCTCTTCTAACTCCACTGATCATTCCTGCTATTGTACACACCATTAGTGGAACTCAGCCACCTCCTTGCCAACACATATACGTCATGCATACTCTAAGATCCTCAAAAGAAAACTGATGTTCAGAAGTCACAATACTAAAACAGATTTGGAGGCTTCATTTTTTAAATGCAATTTTGGAAGCACCAAGATGTTAAAGACTTTGTTCAAGGCTGCAAGCAATGAAGATATAGAATTGCATTCCATGTTCCTGACATACTCCTAACCTGCTAATCATAATGTTTCACATCAACATCATACTCTTGCACACTCCTTCAGAGAAAAATACAAAACACAACCCTCAACCTTCCTCTAATCATTGCTTAGATGTTAACAATCTTAGATATTCCCAGGGACCAGTGGTCAATAATATATCAAAAAAGAAAGAATTTGGCTCCCTCCTCCCCTCCTGAAGTAATAGTCTTAGAGAAGCAGGCAATGTTAGATAAAATATCTAAGGGAAACAGACTACGGCTAAGTGATATCTATTTCTATACTAGCAGAATTTAACAATTCTTTCTACTTCGCTTCTTATTTCATACATCCCATTCACTACTTTCTGTACCATTAAAAGCTATCACTACAGTGTTGGTGGAACTATAAAATGGTACAGCCACTATGAAAACCAGCATGGCAGTTTACCAAAAAATTAAAACTAGAACTACCATATATGATCCAACAATCTCACTTATGGGTTTATATCCAAAAGAACTAAAAGCAGGGCCTCAAAGAGATACACGCACAACCACGTTCATAGCAGCACTATTCACAATACTCAAGAGGTGGAAGCAACCCAAATGTCTATTGATGGATAAATGGATAAAAAAAAATGTGGCATACACACACACACACACACACACACACACACACACACACACACACACAATGGAATATTATTCAGCCCTAAAAATGAAGGAAATTCTGTCACATGCTACAACATGGAGAAACCTTGAGGTCACTGTGTTAAGTGAAATAAACTAGTCACAAAACAACAAATACTCTATGATTCCACTTATGAAGTATCTAAAGTAGTCAAATTCACAGAAACAGAACGGAATGATAGTAAAGTAACCAAGGGCTTTGGAGAAAGGGGAAAGGGAGTTGAAGAAATTTTTGTTTAATGGATACAGAGTTTCAAATTTGCAAGATGAAAAAGTTCTGGAAATCTGTTTCACAACAATGTGAATATACTTAAACTGTACACTTAAAAATGGTTACAATGGTAAGCCTTGTTTGTTTAAGCCATAATTTTAAAAGGAGAAAGGGAGCTATCATGATACAGTAAGCTGGCAGGCATTCCTTACTTCCCTAACTAGAGGCTAGTGAATCTTAACGTGCTGGAAGTTAAGGATATGATTATCTGCTCCATCACTACCTCCTTTTTAAAGATAACTAAAGCTAGGAGTAGTATACCAATCTTTAAACTCAAGTGAACTAGAATCCAAACATTGGCTCTAACACTTCCCTGTGAGCCTCAGCTCCCTCACCTGTACAAAGGTGGGTATTAAATGAAACAATGTAGCATAGTACTTGACACACAGTTTTCCTTCCCTTTCAACTGTCTGGGATGGTTCATTTTATAGCCAAAGCCCTGTCTTGATTGGCATGGTAAACAGAGTGACTATCTGAACAAAAGAGAAACAGGTGAATTTTTAATAAAATAATTTGTTAAATATATATATAATCTAATTTAGATCAATTCCTGAGAAATGCTGAAATTAAGCCAACTATCCACTGAAGTGATTCTACTGTATGTTTTAATGCTTTCCCTCAAAAAAAAAATAAATCCAATTTTAAGCAGAGAATGGTTACAGATTTATATAATCATCTAAAAGAGGCCACTCCTGGAATAGCAAATCTCTAATACATTCCTGGCTGAAATATAAACTTGCATAACCTCTTCAGAAAACAATGTGCATATTCTACAACCTAGCAGTGCCTTGCAACTCCAAGTATGGTCCATGGATCTGCATCACCTGGGAATTTGTGAGAAATACAGATTCTCAGGCCCACCTGAGAACAACTGATTCAGAACCTGCAGTACAGTAAGGTATTCAGGTAATTTCTATGCACATTAATTGAGAAGCATTGCTCTAGGGAAACTCTCCTATGGGTGAAGAAGAAAATATGTGCAATGTTGTTCATTGCAGCATTACTTGAAAAAGCAAAACATGTAGAATCGGCCGGGCACAGTGGCTCACACCTGTAATCTCAGCACTTTGGGACACCTAGGCGGGCAAATCACGAGGTCAAGAGATTGAGACCATCCTGGCCGACATGGTGAAACCCTGTCTCTACTAAAAATACAAAAAATTAGCTGGGTGTGGTGGTGCATGCCTATAGTCCCAGCTACTTGGGAGGCTGAGGCAGGAGAATCACTTGAACCTGGAAGGTGGAGGCTGCAGTAAGCCAATATCTTGCCACTGCACTCCAGCCTGGTGACAGAGTGAGACTCCGTCTCAAAAAAAAAAAAAAAAAAAGGAAAATCAGCTCAAATGACTATCAATAAGAAAAATTGTGGACTATTCATACAGTGGGACACTATACAGCAAACTCAATAAAGTAGAATTACATGAACAATATAAATAAATCTCAAAAAATGATGTTTAAAAATGCATGGTAAGAGTTCATTATGCAAAATATGAAACATGAAAACAACACCGTGTGTGTGTATGTGTGAACATTTTTAAAGGCATGGCACCAAATTCAGGATAATAGTTACATCTGAGTAGGGAAGGAAGAAAAAGAGATTTTAAAAAAGAACACCTGGAGACGATGATCATATTTAATACTTTATTTCAAAAATGAAAACAATCCAAAGCAAATACAGGAGAAAATTCAGATATGACAAAGCTGGGAGGCAGGTATACAGAAGAGATGTTCACTATATTACTTCTTATACTTTTCAGAAAACTTGATATATTTCACAATTTTTAAAATGAAGAATAAGTTTCTCCCCCTTGGTTAGCATTTCTCATGAACAAATATCATCATATTCAACCTTTTACTACAGAAATAAACATCTATGCAGCTGGGCACGGTGGCTCACGCCTTTAATCCCAGCACTTTGGGAGACTGAGGTGGGCGGATCACGAGGTCAAGAGATCAAGACCATCCTGGCCAACATGGTGAAACCCCGTCTCTACTAAAAATACAAAAATTAGCTGGGTGTGGTGGCGTGCGCCTGTAGTCCCAGCTACTCGGGAGGCTGAGGCAGGAGAATTGCTTGAAACTGGGAGGTTTCAGTGAGCCGAGGTGGCGCCACTGCACTCCAGCCTGGCGCCTGGTGGCAGAGCAAGACTCTGTCTCAAAAAAAAAAAAAAAGAAAAAAGAAATAAACATCTATTTGTCCTATGTAGGTTTTAAAAGAACAAGTTTTGCTTCTGACTTTTCTATGAATGCATCCTCTCTCCTCCCCTACCCAACACACACACACACACACACACACACACACACACACACACACACGACTTCTCTTTTGGCAACTTAGGAGATGTGAAGGTCAGATTCAAATGATGATATGGTTACCTAAGCCAATCAACATGGACAAACAGGATCTCTGCCTGGGGTAGCCAAGATTATGGCCCCTACGCAGAACTAAATGTAAAGTCTGCAAAATGAAGGAAAGAAAAGAAACAGTACAGTACTAGCAGCAAGGCTGGATCAAGTGCACCAAAATCAAATGAAAAAGAAAAAGACGTACCTCCCAGGGCATGAATATATTCATTAATTCGGTAAATATATATTGCCAAAAATATACATGATAAACATTATTTCAGATGTTAGGGATGTGGCAGTAAACAAAACAGGCCAAAGCCCTCATGGACCTTACATCTTAGAAAGTAGACATACAATTAGTTGCTTAAATAAGTTAAATATCTAGTATGTTAGGAGGTAAATGCTAAGGAGGAAAAATAGCAAGAAAGGAAGATGGGGAAGGTGAAGGTGGGAAGTAACTACATGTGTGCTATGGGAGTGCAATTTCAGATAGGATGGACAAAGGAACCATATGGTAAGTATATGCAGGAGTTTTTCATTTTACAAATTCTTTACACATGCTTCTGGGCAAGGTATAGAGGTTTAAAAGGTTCAAAGCAATGTTCTGTTGATAACTGAATGAGTATGAATAGAAGACAGGAAGAAAAATATGAAGAGCACAAAACCAGAGAACGGTAATTCTTCTCTGAGGTTTCTATAGAAAAGATTCCCAGGAAAGCACATGAATCACTGGTTCGATTATCAACAAATACAGACAAATTCTGGTACAACATATCTCCAGGTGCTGGAGATACAACAAGAAAGACAGACACGGACATTGTCCTCATACAGCTTAATGTCTTATAAGCAGTGAGAAAAACAAAGAAACAATATCGTGTGATAATAAAATAGAAATATGAATAGAATGTTATGGTACATATGTTTGTACATGGAGAACCACCTAATCCTGACTTTCTAGAGGAAGAAATATCTAAGCTTGGACATGAAGAATGAGGAGGTATAGCTAAGCCAAGGCAAGGAGCAGCATGTGTAACAACATGGAGGCAAGAGAAAGCATAGTCCTCTAGAGAACTGGAAAAAGTGCATTGTGGCTGGCACATAGAACAGAAGGTCAGAAGTGGTGACAGGTGAAGGGCTTTCCTAAGAGGAATTGGATAGCCATGGAAGAATTTTACACAAGAGAGAAGGAATAATCAGATCTACATCTTAAAAACATAATTCTGGCTACGGTGTGAAAACAGGCTGGGGAAAGAATTAACTCAAAGAGACTTTTTAGCAGCCTGCTAAAATAATCCAATTGAGACATGAAGATAGCCAGAAAACTAAATGCCAAGAGCATGTATGTGCATGTTATTAGGACCACAGGATATTTATCATTACCTGTGCCAGATGGTACGCTCATATTCTAAAAGCCTAGGTTCTTCCCTATTGTAAAAACGAATCATATGTGCCAATGAATTATCATTGTGTCTTACTCAAAGGGTAGGAAAATTGCATAAAAATCAAAGACCCTAATAAAATAGGCCCATAAAAATGTTGCCAGAGTTGTGCTTTATAACTACCTAAAGTCATTATCCTCTTCTCTAAGAGAGCACCTTTACTTGCACATTATGTCAATATCTGATAGAAATTTTCATCCTCTCCCTTCCCATAACAATTTTTCTCCCCATTTTAACAGCTTCTGAGACTCTAAGATTCATGACTGGCTCTATAAGAGGCAAGTACTTGCTTTTCAGCTGAATAAACAAAGACAAACAATGAGGGTAATGTGGCAAATGGGTCTGCCCACTCAGATATTTTCCAAAGTAGGAGTTCATGCTGGGCTCCCTCAGTTAGAAAGCTCAGGGGAATAAATATTCCAGATACTGAACTAATATCAAAGTCATACTTCATCAAGCATTACACTTCTGCTGTTGAGGGAATGATATACAAAACTTTGGGGAAATTATGAAGTCCGAGGACTTAAAAATTAAAGAATGGGAATAAAGAAGGTAGGTACACTGGGGTATTTTACTGACAAAACCAAACCTGACATATTAAAACAACTTTACTCAACCAGAGACCAGGAAAGCAATGAACTTTCATCAATGCCCTGGGGTCAGTCTGTGTGTGTATATTAAAAGATATGTGGCTATAGTCAAAGATGAAAACTATTTGCATTTTAGGGTATACTTTAACAGACTAATGTTTTGTATCAACGATACATGAGATGTAAAATGTTTGGCAATGCTTGGGGCTGCTTCTCTATCCTTTTTATTTATTTCATTCAAAATGAGCAGTACATTCCTAACCAGGTCTGCTCAGACACCCAGGGTGCTATTGAATGGTAGTACAGACTCTTCAGTGACCAAGCAACCAATATCCTGGAATTTGAAAAGAACTTTTTATAATGAAAAGTTCTACTATCAATAGACTATTTGCCTGAGTTGTTTTCATAGTTGCAACTGACCCTTTGCTGGAGACCAAAATTTCCTCTGTATTATCCCTAACGTCAGTCCACTAGCTAAAAATTAGGATAGGACAGAGGAGGAGGGAAGTACTTAAAATTCTAACATAACAAAAGACAGAAGAAATTAGGTGATCAAAATAAAAATACCCTTGTTATAAAAATAATGTGGGCCCTGGACATTTAAAAGGAAATATAAATAGTTTCTTGAACTCAATACATATTTATGGAATGAGCATGGTTCCAATGACAAATTTTAGCACAAGTTGTTTGCAGCTAATATGATAACTGACAACCATTTCTTGAGTGATAGTTTCTTCACATGTAAAACCTGGGTAATAATCTGTATCCTACCCTACCCACACAATTCCAGGAGAACTTATGTTGCCGGTTTTCATCCTCGTTGGGTTACTAGGTATTTAACAATGCCTGAAATAATAACAACAAAAGCCACCATTTTTCATTACTTATCTCAAAAAATGATCAGTCAATCAATCAAGTCTCTAGATTTAGCATTAGCAACATAAATGGATAGGGGTGCGGATGAGGCAGGATTGGCCATGGAGTGATAGTTGGTTGTCCAGGTGGGTGAGAGGTATGAGAAAGGTCATAACCCCACTCTGCTAATTTTGGTAGATGTTGAAAATTTTCCACAATAAAAAAGTTTTTAAGTATCTTTATGTTACTCTCACAGGCATATTTTCCTAATTTTTTTCTTTTTTTTTTTTTTTGGTGGCATCTTTGCCACAGGTCACTGATGCCCTGAACAAGAAGTAAGATTTCAAATATGCAAGGTAGGCAAAAGCTCCTCACCAAGATTAAATTAAATTAAATTGGATAGTTTAAACACATTTTATCAAAATTCCCTGAATGTTTGGAAAGTAGATGAATTGCTATTCCAATGACAATTTTAAGTAACATCAATCGAATTCTTTCCCTGTGCTTTCACTTTTGTAAGTGCTTTACTGACATTATCTCACAATTCTATGATGTAGACTGACAGGGAGTAAGTGATGGAGCTGGGGTTGGAATCCAGACAATCTGACTGCCAGAGCCTGCACTTTTAACCAACGACTGGATACTTCAAGGCTCAACATTACTAGTTTGGGTAGCATTACAAAGAATTAAGAAAAGAGAGGAAGAATACTACTTCAGGCTCAAAAATATATATGCATTGCCTTGTCAGGAGAAGCAGTATAATATGGTAGGGAAAAAATTGAGTTAGGTACTTCAGATACTGAATTGTGGCTATTTACCACTCATTATTAGATGAACTTGAGTAAGTTAAATACCTCTTTTTTTTTTTTTTTTTTTTTGAGACGGAGTTTCACTCATGTTACCCAGGCTGGAGTGCAATGGCGCGATCTCGGCTCATCGCAACCTCCGCCTCCTGGGTTCAGGCAATTCTCCTGCCTCAGCCTCCTGAGTAGCTGGGATTACAGGCACACACCACCATGCCCAGCTAATTTTTTGTATTTTTAGTAGAGACGGGGTTTCACCATGTTGACCAGGATGGTCTCAATCTCTTGACCTCGTGATCCACCCGCCTCGGCCTCCCAAATTGCTGGGATTACAGGCTTGAGCCACCGCGCCCGGCCAGTTAAATACCTCTTATCTTCGGTTTCCTCATCCGTACTTCGTTAAGTTTAAGGTAAGGACTGAAAGTGAAAATGTACATAAGGTCATCTAATACATAATTATTCTACAGCACTTGCATTTGTGTATGAATCTGTCTCTCCACTAGATTGTGAATGCCTAAGCCATTCGCCTTTCTCTCTTCAGTTCCTAGAACAGTACCTGGCACACAGAAGGCCCTTGTGTTTGTTTATCCTAACACCAGATCCATCAAGAGGTCCAGAACAAATTGGTAGCTTTGTCAAGTCTCTATTTTAGTTATCTAAGTCTATGAGTTATACCAACAAGCAAAATAGGTTTCAAATGTTTGCTTAATAACAGAAGACAGGAAACTAATTCATAAATTATTATGTTATCTTAGCATTTAATCCAAAATTAATGATAGCAAAGATTTAAAGAGACAAAGAGTGTCCTCTAATTGTATTTGCTGAGGATCATTTACACTTATAGAAGTAAGCTGCAGTTTCTAGACTGATCTTTCCAAACATAAATCTCACTATGTCACTTCCTGGCTTATATACTTCTTCATGGCTTTTAGAATAAATTTCTGAGGATAACACGGAAAGTACGTCATGATTTGACAACTTTGGACCAGCCCAGCCTCAAATCTCTTCATTCCCTGTTCCACCCTCATGTAACTTTTCCTCCCCTACTCAAGCCACTCAGGACTTCAGTTCCCTAAATGGGCCATGTATCTGCTCTTTTACCTCTGTACTTTCTCACAGGCTGCTGCTCCCTTTTCCTAGAGTGTCCTCCCACTCTTCTACCTAAATAATTCCTATTTGTTCTCAAGACTCAGCTCAGAGAAAACTTCCTCTAGAAAGCCTTTCCTGACATTGTCCTTTATTCCCTAAAAGTCTGGGTGAGGAGTCCTCTCTTTGCTTCTGTAGTACATGATAGAACTTACCATTCTGTAGTCTAATTTAATTTTCCACATCCTTCCCTATGTTCTCAGTGACAGAAACCAGGTCTTATTTGTCTTTCCAGTATCTATCTAGCGCAGCTAGGTGCAGAGTGGGTGATTAACAAAGCTCTGATGAATGTAAAAGAACCTTATTTTGCACAAGGGAAAGCCCAGTGTAAACTTATTAACAAAAGCACACCTTTTTATTTATTACCTAAATAAAAGTGAATGTAAAGTCAAACAGAAACATCTTAGTGAGGCATTGTTAAAGACTAATATGAGCATGGCAAGAAAAAAATAAAGAGGATCTGAACTCTTGTCTGGTTAACAAAAAGCAAAGAAAAAAAAAGAAGAAGAAGGAAAATGAGGATGATACCGTTGCAGATTGGTTAGGCAATAAGGAAACAGAAAGCAACAGCATCCTCCTACTTGTGGCTTTAGTCCCTGAAGACTGTTTAATCACTAATTTTTAAGTGTGTATATTTCTAAATAAGTGCTCTATTACAAAAGATCATCAACTTAAGAAATGCTTACATTCTGGTAACTGTTAAAAGGCTTGCTATTAACAAGAAAGAACATATGCTAAGAAAAATAATTCTCTAAAACAGCAAGTTTAAGTAAACTTTTTTGTTGGCAATAAATGTCTGGAATCCATTTGGAATTTTTCAGTATTATGCACAAGTTAAAAGTAATTAATACACATAAAAGTACATCACTAGGTTGCAAAGCGTTTGTAGCAACTCAATACCATTATTTGCTATTGTCCTTATTTCTAACCAAGTTGTATTTCATCTTTTACACTGGCTAAAATGACTCTTAGTTTGGGGATATATGCTATTAGCCCGTAAATCTCATCCTGGGTAATGTATAGGTTTACTCATCTGACTCATAACATATACCAAGGTCTTCTTCTCTGGAAACCAATCCACTGTACAAATCAATCAGGCTAAGGAAAAAATAGAGGGAAAAGTAAAATGGACAGAGTACTATGTGAGGATGTGCTTTGTTCTTCTGGGCAAAATGCTTACTTTCTACTCCAAAGAACCAGGAGATAAACTGAAGAGAGTAGTAAACAGATTACAAATCAGAAAAGAGAAGTAAAGGTGGCAGGGGCAAAAGATGCATTAAATCTAACAGTGGATAGAAGGATATAGTAGAACACAACTAAATTCAACCTACATTTAGCATGTTATTTTGCCATGCTAGAAAGAGTTTCAAAAATAAGATAGGTCTGGGTTTGAATCCCAGCTAACTAGGACTTCTCAGCTGTGTGACCACTGAGCAAACAACTTAACCTCATCTCAGATTCAGGTTTTTTATTTGTAAAGTAGGGTAACACTGCTTATCATCAGAATTGAGAGGATTAGAGGTAATGAAGAATTTAAAAGGTTTGGGAGCAGTTAAGTAAAAAGTCTGAAGGACTGTTTTCAATGTACTGTACAATAAAAAGTACAGCTAACATTTAGAAGGCCAATTTACGCCAGGAATTCTAAGTGTTTTACATTCATACGAATCATTTCACAATTAAGGACCTCCATTTCTTCATTTCTTCAAAGTGAAATGCTACTGCCCTAGGTTATTATACTTTTTTAAACATAAGTACAAGACAGTTTGTCCAACAGCCTCTTCTTCCCACAGTAGATGCAATCTCAGGATACAACTCGTTATACATAAAAGGAGACCAAAAAGGTTTCATGTTTAGTAGGTATATGGTAGGTACTTCAGGCAATTTTTGTGGCTAGTAACTATCACAGTAGGTCTAGGAAAGAATTTCAAATTGCCTTTTATGTTTCTGGATAGAAAGAAGAGGTAACTAAAGATGAATAAGGCAGTTTCTGTCATCACTGTTTGTGGTCTAGTTGTAAATTATAATATGGTGCTTTGAGTTTCCCATTCACATTTAAAGGCCTTATTCCCAGAGATAGATAAATAATATACTATTTAGGAGTATTTACTTATTTAGCAAATATTTAACAAATATTTACCACAGACTTACCACATGCTAGGAATTAATCTAGGTGCTGGCCATATGGTGGTTAAAAGAGAGAGAGAGAGAGACAGACAAAGACAAAAACCCCTGCCTCTTATGGACCTGACATTCTAGTACTGATGGTGAGTAGGGACAATTTATGCACCAATGCTGTTCAACCATTTACTTAGTATTTACTACATACTGAACACTATCCTGAGTAGATGTTAGGGAGTACCAACATCAATAAGAGGCTACAAGCTACTTGAGAAAAGGTAGAGAGGAGTCAGTTACATAGACAAGTAATACTTAAGAGTCCATAAAAAGCAAGCCATCAAAAACTATGCAGTATTAGAAAGTATAAGTTATAATAGGAGGCTGCATGGATGTTTTTAAAGGACAAATAAGTTTGCAGGTAGTCAAAGAAAGGCTGTGGTAGACATGTGTCATTCTTTTTGGCAGCCTAGTATAATATAATTTCTCACTATTCTCAGAATCCCTTCTTATTTGAAGGAATTCTCCATATTTTAAACCTTGATACACCATCACATAGGTTCATAATGTTTGATTCTTGTTTTCCTGGCCTCCCCTGCAGCCAGAGCATGGGCTGGTCATTGAGGTTCCAACAATCAGATGCACCTTTACCTGGCTTGAAATTAGAAACTAATGATCCAAAGGAATGAACTGGAGGCCCTCTCTCTGGTGGCAAAGAGAAATGGATGCAGTATGACAAGTGGCAGTAGCACTTGTTATTACATCTATGACCCAAGGTTAGTAGTGCTAGTGGTGATGTCAGTGGCACACAATCTATGGACACAATTGACTATAACTCCATGGCCTGAATTTGGTACCCCTGGAGATTCTGTGAACTCCTCAATATCCTTTTAATAAATTCAATTCTGATTAAATCAATAAATGATTTTTGTTGCTTAGAATTAAGACCCCTATTAAAATTGAAGAGAAGGGCATCCCAGGTAGAGGGAACAGCATATGCAAAATAAGGAGAGTCTAGTTAACTTAGTGATTAGGAGAGGCAGCTCTAAAGCTAAACATATCTGGATTTGAATTAAGGTTCTACATTGTACTAGCTATGAAACCCTGCTTTGTGTATTTAAACTCTCAAAATCTCAATTCCTCTTTGGTAGAGTAGGGATAATACATACTTCTTATTAGGTTCTTTTGAGAATTAAATGCAGCCATGGAAATTCATTTAACACTCTTAGTATCTGACACCTTCACAGATGATTGCTTTATTATTAATAATGATGATGAAAATAAGCATAGTATTTGGAGGAAAATATATGTCATGTGATTCTGCTAGAGTTTAAAACACAAGGGGAGGAGTACAGGAAATGAGGATAGCTGACATCTTGAAATTTTATATCTTTCCAAAGAACTCGAGCTTTATGGGCTGGGCTCACTTTAATAGTGAGTAATGGGAGAATTATAGTGAAATATAAATAGTATATTAAATTATTAACTAGGCAAATAGGATTAGGTTTTGCATTATATATGTATTCTCCACATCTATACTATATACTATATAGTTATATAGTATGATCTGGCCACTGTACTTATGTACCTGTAGGATATAATAATATTGTTATCGTTCAGTTCAGATACCATACAAACTGAAGCTATTACATTCTTTCTAATAAACATAAATCCTCCAAAACTTTGCATATCATCTGTCAATATGTTTTGCAACTCGATCAGATGAAGCTGGGTCTATAGTTAAATAACAGCTGCTCCTTTGTCTGATCTGAGAAACAACCAACCTTTGAGTAAGGAGCAAAGTCTACAAAATGGGGAAGGAAAATGTACCCTGAAATGACTGGCAGAGTATGAATCACATTTGCAAGTCTGATATTCTATGACCTTTCTTTCCTTTTTTTTTTGGAGACAGGGTCTCACTCTGTTACCCAGGTAGGAGTGCAGTGGGACGATCTTGGCTCACTGCAACCTCTGCCCCCTGGGCGTAAGCCACTATACCCCGCTAGTATTTGTATTTATTGCAGAGAAGAGTTTTCATCCTGTATTCCAGGCTGGTCTCCAACTCCTGGGCTCAAGTGATCTGGCCCTCTCAGCGTCCCAAAGTGTTGGGATTACAGGTGTGAGCTACTGCGCCAAGCTTATTCTATGACTTTTACATAATCAAATGTCATCTATTTTTTTTTTACAAAATAGTATTACGAATTAGCATCTTGGTCTAGAGTCCATATTAGGTTAAAGATAAAAGGTTTTATTGTCAAGTCAAAAACAATCAATACTACCATTTCACAGTATGTGGTATTACTTACTAAATGCTAATAAGCATTACACTGTCTCTTGTTAGCACCAATCCTCTTTGTGCTAAATAGACAATCACATAGTTACTATTCAGTCCTGCTTTACATTGCCATGCTTTTCTTTATCCATACATATAATTGCAGTTTAGGTTCTGGGGTACATGTGCAGAACATGCAAGATTTTTGCATAGGTACACCCATGGCAATGTGGTTTGCTGCCTCCATCCCTACATCACCTACATCTGGCATTTCTCCCCATGTTATCCCTCCCTAACTCGCTACCCCCCACTGTCCCTCCCCTTGTCCCCACAACTGACCCCAGTGTGTGATGCTCCCCTCCCTGTGTCCATGTGTTCTCATTGTTCAACACCCGCCTATGAGTTAGAACATGTGGTGTTTGATTTTCTGTTCTTGTGTCAGTTTGCTGAGAATTATGGTTTCCAGATTCATCCATGTCCCTACAAAGGACACGAACTCATCGTTTTTTATGGCTGCATGGTATTCCATGGTGGATATGTGCCAAATTTCCCTTGTGTAGTCTATCATCGATGAGCATTTGGGTTGGTTCCAGGTATTTGCTATTGTAAGCAGTGCCACAATGAACATACGTGTGCATGTGTATTTACAATAGAATGATTCATAATCCTTTGGATATATACCCAGTAATAGGATTGCTGGGTCAAATGGAATTTCTATTTCTAGGTCCTTAAGGAATCGCCACACTGTCTTCCACAATGGTTGAACTAATTTACACTCCCACCAACAGTGTAAAAGTGTTCCTATTTCTCCACATCCTCTCCAGCATCTATGTCTGCAGATTTTTTTAATGATCACCATTCTAACTGGCATGAGATGGTATCTCAATGTGGTTTTTGATTTGCATTTGTCTAATGACCAGAGGTGATAAGCATTTTTTCATATGTTTGTTTGCCTCATATATGTCTTCTTTTGAAAAGTGTCTGTTCATGTCCTTTGCCCACTTTTGAATGGGTTTGTTTTTTTCTTGTAAATCTGTTTTAGTTCTTTGTAGATTCTGGATATTAGCCCTTTGTCAGGTGGGTAAATTGCAAAAATTTTTTTCCCATTCTGTTGGTAGCCAGTTCACTCCAATGATTGTTTCTTTTGCTGTGCAGAAGCTCTGGATCCCATGTGTCTATTTTGGCTTTTGTTGCCAATGCTTTTGGTGTTTTAGTCATGAAGTCCTTGCCTATGCCTATGTCCTGAATGGTTTTTATGGTGTTAGGTCTTATGTTTAAGTCTTTAATCCATCTGTAGTTAATTTTAGTGTATGGTGTCAGGAAGGGGTCCAGTTTCTACTTTCTGCACATGGCTAGCCAGTTTTCCCGACATCATCTATTAAATAGGGAATCATTTCCCCATTGCTTGTTTTTGTCAGGTTTGTCAAAGATCAGATGGTTGTAGATGTGTGGTGTTGCCCCCGAGGCCTCTGTTCTGTTCCATTGGTCTATATCTCTGTTTTTAAAACAGTACCATGCTGTTTTAATTACTGTAGCCTTGTAGTATAGTTCAAAGTCAGGTAGTGTGATGCTTCCAGCTTTGTTCTTTTTGCTTAGAATTGACTTGGTTATACATTTGCCATGCTTTTCTACCTGCTTACCCTCATTTAATTTCCACCATTATCTCCTCTCCCAGCCTCCAACCTACATTCATATCTGCCTTCAAGAAACACTCTTTGATCTAATTTTGATTTCACAGTAACTACTGAAAGCAAAACTGGATCACTGTGTACATCTCAGAACCAGTGCTGAGAGAGAAAATGTATGAGTTTTCTGGGGGAGGATAGCGGAAGAGAAAAAAAAAAGAACAGAACAGAACCCAAAATGTGCTCTGTAGCTACTAAATGCTTCATTTCATTTTTTGCTACTCCCATCTGCTTTGGCAAGGCAGCACAGTTTAGTCAAAAGAAAAAAAGGAGCACAGATTTGAGTCAGAGGGCTAGTTTTAAATTCTAGGCCCAATACCCAAGAACCTTATTTGGTAGGTTACTAATATACTCATGTTACAGGAGATAGTATAGAGGCCCAGGAAAGTTATGTGACTTGTTGTATTTGGCATGCTTTCAAAAATATCAATGTGCTATCAACATAAAATTGAGTGGTCACATCTTTCTATAAGCCCAATTTTATTTTCACTTTACTAGGTCATTTATAGCTAGGGCCTGATGCCTACATAAGATCCCAAGGAGTAAATACCTACCAGAACTGGACAATGGCTGGTTCGGGGATTACCATCTTTGCATTTACCTTTTTAAAATCTCTTCCATTTAGTCCAGTTCTAAGCAGTACCATTACTGTTGTATCTAGCAACATGACACGGCATAATTCTAGCTTCACCTGGGCCATTCTGGAAAAGTAGGAGGTAGCCTTTGCTTCAAGCATATTGTTCCTACCCTGCACCTTAGAACCACCTATTACAGAGATGATTTGTGACAATATGCAAGTCTTTCTGATTACCAATGTGTTACCAGTCTACGGATTATATCAAGAAAGTTGGCAAATTAATTAATCTAGAATTAACAAAGTTTTCACTGCTGTTTCTCACTGCTGTCTTTGAAAAATCCCTGTTTTTCAAAAATTGTTTTGAGTGTTTACTATGTGCTGATTAATATATGTACTGATTGTTAAGCACTACTGAATTAAGTGTTTTACATACATTGATCAATTTAATCCTCTCTCAATAACACTATGATTCACTACTGCTTGGATTTCAAAGTTCAAAATTCAGAGAAGAGTAATCATTAACTAGTTTCCTAAAGGCCAGAGTCATTCTCTGGTATATTCTTTAGGATAGCACCTAGGTCTTTTTGGCAATGTACAAGCCAGGCAGATGGGCACCTTGTCTTCTCTCACCACAGTATTGAAAAATACCAAATGCCTGGCTTTTTTCCAGACTGCTTTTGGCTTTCAAGGACCACGTGAACCAATGACAAATCATGCTTCTGCTGGAGCAGACATAAGAAACACAGTCACTGGCTTGGTTCTGCCAGGAAGTACCAAGTCTCAAGTAAAGCATCATATGGAATCTTAGATCACTACCCAAAATAGATTTACATTCTTTTTGGTGACATGACAAATAATTTAAATGTGGTGGATTTTTTTTGCATTTTGATCTCTCATATTTGTCTTCAGAAAAGTGTTAAATCCTACTTGCACCTCTGTTTTCATAATAAAGTGATCTCATTTATTACTGTAAGAAATGAAGTAATACATACAGTAATAAAATATTAAACTCAATCAGTGATTTTAAAAAAGCTTTATGGGGTAGCTTTTTTCTCTATTAGGAGGCATCTAATATAGTAAATTAAACATGGTAGACACTTAAAGTTTGATAATTTAAATAACAGTAATAGTACCAACAGTACTACTTTCACACTTTCATTTCCATTTGAAAGGTGCCTCACTTCAAAACATTAAAATGTCTGAAATATGTTAAAGAACAGTTTTAAAGCAATACTTCCATACAGAATTATCTCAATGGCAGGGAGGGAGTTAAAATATTGATGTAAAAAAATTTCACAGTTACCACTAAATAGTTACTTTAGTTATCTCTGGGTTCATGTTTTGTTTTTACCCTTCTTTATGTTTTCTGCAATGAACATAGATTATTTTTATAACTGTAAAAAAATTTGCCAGGTGCAGTGGCTCACACTTGTAATGTCAATACTTTGTGAGGCTGTGGTAAGAAGACTTCTTGAACCCAGGAGTTTAATACCAGCCTGGGCAATATAGCAAGACCACATGTCTACAATTTTTTTTTAATTAGCTGAGCATGGTGGTACATGCCTGTGGTCCCAAATACTCAGGAGGCTGATATGGGAGGATCACCTGAGCCCAGGAGTTCGAGGCTGCAGTGAGCTACAATCACACTACTGCACTCCAACCTGGGAAAAAGAGTGAGCCCCTGTTTCTTAAAAAAAAGTGAGTAGAATCCATCCTAAACAGATCAACCAAAAATAATAACATATAAAGCATAACTTATATATGTTGTGAGTTTAATATGAGATAAAGATTATTTTGTTTTCTCAAGGTAGAGGGGAAGAAAAATAATACTAAAGGATCCCAAACCTTTGGAAAATATCATGGTATAATTGTTAAATTATACAAATATGTCAACTACAAAACAGCATAAAATTATATTTTGTGTAAAGAAGCCATATATAAATGCATGTGTTTATTTCTTTGTTGTGTTTAATCAAAGCTATCTTGGTCACATTACATTTTATGCTAATATAAACCACATAATCTGGAAAGAATATAAGAAAACAGCATGAATTCTATAAAGGCTTTGTGTCTGAGAAAGCCCAAGGTAGTTAACATATGTTAACTTCTCAAAAACCTTGGGAGTCTGGAAGTAAGTTTCATTTTATAGTCAGGGAAACTAAGTCACAGAGTCATCAAAAAAATGTGTCAATAACCCAAAAAGTGAATAGCAAGATTGGAATTTAGTTCTTCTGACTTCCATTCCACTGATTAGCTGGACCATTCAGCCCTGCCTTTGTGGCCAAGTTGAAGCAACAAACTAACTTAAAAACTAAAACCAGTTGAACAGGATAGGTTTGTAGGCAATATGCCAACAATTTAGTATAAAATACCCAACAGCTAGATTGCTTTCAGTTTTTGGTACACTTTATAACTATTCATTAACCCACACAACATCAATAGATGGTGGGACTATACCATTGGTGCTATTCATATAGAACTGATAAAACACACTCTAGAATTACAATAAATATAAAACCACATTAAAAATCTACAGCAGAAAAAGCCCAATGCCTTCCTCCCATCAAGCCTCAATAAACAAATAAAACAGGATAAATATATTGGAATGCAAGTCCTTTCCCCCCATTATTTCCAACAGCCCTTCCCAATCCCTATGATGATTAACAGGACTGAAGAGAATCTAAAAAACTATTCAAGTTATCCAGTTGCCTTCAGAATGAATAACATCTATACTTTTCCTAGAATATTTTTTAAAGAAATTTCATCTTTAAAGACCATTTCCAGTCCAGGCACAGTGGCTCAAGCCTGTAATCTCAACACTTTGGGAGGCTGAGGTGAGCGGATCACTTGAGCCCAAGAATTCGAGACCAGCCTATGCAACATAGTAAAACCCTGTCTCTACCAAAAAAAAAAAATTAATGTTTAAAAAAGTTAGCCGGACATGGTGCCACATGCCTGTAGTACCAGCTACTTGAGAGGCTGAGATGGGAGGATCACTTGAACCCAGGAGGTCAAGGCTACA